AACAACACATATATTTAAATGATTAAGGGAATGAGTTTACGCTTAACTCAAGTCTCCTAATTTGAAGTTCATTGTTCCCTCTACACACTAAGTAAGTTAGTAGTCTAAAATCACACAGCTTTTCAGGGAAGAAACCAAGATTCATAACTGCTCCCCCTGCCACTGCACCCCTGCCCACCACACCCTGCTAATGCTGTACTATACCTCTTGACCATTTGCCTATCCACCATTAACCCATACTCTCTGTGGGGTTTATCAATCTGCTAATTTGCAAATAGTTGTTCCTGTAACAGGTACCTAAATTAATTTCTTTTTTCACTTTAAGACAATGGAGATTGAGTGACATGTGACTTGTTGGACACTTTAATCCGGAGACAGTTTCTAAATTGGTCTTAAAGCAGGGGAATAAACTAGTAAATTTCATGGTAGCCAGTAACCATTGTATGAGTCAAAAAAAGCAACGCTTCTGGCTTTTTAACTATAAAAGCCCTGAAAATGGTTTTGGTCCAGATTCCCTCTGTTCTTTAGTTTCTCCAGGAGCTCCGGAAAAATCACTTACCACTGTCTGGACTTCTGTATCTCTTAAAAACAAAACAAAAAAAACCCCCAAACAAACCCATTGCCATAAAGTCAGTTCTTACTCATAGCAATTCTTTCGGACAGAGTAGCTCTACCCCATAAAGTTTGCAAGGCTGTAATCTTTACAGAGGTCGACTGCTCCATCTTTCTCCCATGAAGCTGCTGGTGGGCTCAAACTGTTAAATTTCATCTAGCAGGTAAATGCCTAGTCCCCCGAGCCGAAAAGAAGGACTCTTAAATTTGATGCAAGGAATGGAAACTGAGTACTACTAAATTTAAGCAAAGGAAATCTATTAGAAGAATATAACAAGACTCACCATGGATGCTTGAGTGGTGGGGGCGGTGGCTGGCTTGCAAGGCAGAAAACAAGGAACTGACTGACCAACAAAAGGAAAATTGGGATGCTCTTAGGGAGGAAGGGCTCTGGTGTGATGCTGTAGGATAAACACTTGACTAGTAACCAAAATATCCACACCCCTGTACAGGAATGCAATGAGTCAGAACGGCATATAACAGCATTAGGGTAGCATGGATGCCAGGCAGTCAAACAGAGCCTACCTGTTCATGAATGCTTTCCTTTTTATATCCAGAATATAATCTCTAAGAGCCTTTGAGCTCTGACATCCTCTGTGTGTGTGTTTAGAGGAGGGTGAGTAGGAGGAGTGAATATGCAAACAGGGTGGTCAGAATTGCTTCAGCGGATGTATATTTGAAGACAGCACAGATGAAAAAGGTTGGGCCACTTTAGCAGCACACAAGCTGACCAATGTGGCACCCCGTGAGCAGGAAGTAGAAGGGGTCTTAAGCAACTCAAGTGTTCGGTTAGACATTATGAGGAACAAGCATTGGAAGTTCCCAAACACTTCTAACAGTCTGTGTGAAAGTGATTGGGCTAGAAGCTTTTCTCATGCCTACAAAATGAGATGCAGGGCCTAGTACTGAGATGAGCTTCATATTGGAATGCAACACACGGCCAAGCAATATTCAGCTTCTCTAATCAAAGGGTGTTGCTACCTAGTAACCCACAGGGCAGATATGACCTGCGGAGAATTCGTTACCATCAGATAAAAATACAGCTTTTGTACTTCTCTTGAAAATAGGTGGCTGTGGTGACGCCTGGTCTACATTATTGCATAGTAACAGTTTTAGTCTGCCTTCTGGCAGGATGTGGGCCCCCACTTGGCCATACCTGCCTCCTGGCTTCCTTCACTTGTTCCATTACCAGCTTGGACCCTGGGTGCACTAGAGTTTTTTAACTTTGTTGTAACTACTTCCATGACAACTCAAGGCCTGAGTGTGAGCAATCATCTTGATGGGTTACCAGCATGGGCTGCCTAGCCTGATCTGCTCAAGTTCCTAACCCTTAGGGTCCAATGATATGGCCCCTTCAATTCTCTTAACTGTCTGTATCTGGTGAGACAAGAGTTTTCATTTATTTATTCTACCCCTACCAAGCCACATCTCTCTCTTGTATCAGAGCCAATCTTCAGGCATCTATTCTCCCAAACCACCTTGCCTAACTGAAGGTGGTTGTTGTTAAATGACACTGAGTCAGTTCTGACTCATAGCAAACCTGTGTAGGGTTTCTGAGGAGTGGCTGGTGAGCTTGAACCACTGACCTTGTAGTTAGTTCACTGCATTAACCCACAGTGCCACACCAGAACTCTGAAGTGGCAGTGGTCGTTATGTGCCATTAAGTCAGTTCTGACTCACAGTGACACTGTATAAGGTTTATGAGGCTGTAAATCTTTCCGGGAGCAGAAAGGCTCATCTTTCTCACACAGAATGGTTGGTAGTTTTGAACTGTTGACCTTAAGGTTAGCAGCAGCCTGACTCTTAACCACTATACTACCAGAGGCAATGAAAAATCCCATCTAGCATCTACTTCTAAAATACAGAGGAAAACAAAACAACAAAAAACTATGCAAGTGAAGGAGAACCATTTCTGTTTGACTTCTTGGAAGATAATTTCTGAGAAAAGCTTCTCTTCTCTCATTTGGATTATTTGTTTACTTTGTGTTGAGTAGCTGGGCACTCATTAAGAAGAAAAATGACTTCTCTGCACCCTCCTCACAGACCTCTACCTCTGAATTCCAGTTCACAATGTGTGATAGAAAATCATTCACTTCACTCTTGACCCTGATGGATCCATTCTCCACAAAGTAGCTAGAGCATTTTCTTGTTTAAATTTCTTTGATGGCTTCAAGTTGCTTTTATAATAAACTTTAAGATGCTTAGAGTACTGTAGTCTACAAGGCTTTCCATTAGGTGCTTCTTCCTCATCTCCCCTGGCTCACTTTACTTTGGCCACTTAGGTCTTCTTTCAATTTGTGGATAAAGCTAAGCTCTTTCCTGCCTGAGTCCTTGAGCCTGCCTTTTTCCTTTTCCAGGAGGGGTCCCTTTCCTCCCTGCCTTTCCTGAAACTCCTACTATCCTTCAGACCTCAGCATTTAAGGACTACTTCCTCAGAGACGCCTTCTCTATCTTCAGTTCCTCACCCATTTCCCATAGCCTTCAGCTCGATTGCTTTTAACACAGTTTGTCAGTTTCCCCAGTGAACCATACACTGAAAGCAGAGACTTTTATTTTGTACCCTACTCAATATCCACAGCCAACACACTGCCTGCCATAGACTAGAGTAGCAAATGAATATTGTCAAATGAGTGAATGAAAAAACAAAAATAAACAAAACCTATTCCATCCTCTTTCTTAGGAAACGCATTTTTATTTCAACGACACATGAGCAGACCTGTCCAAAGACCATTTTGGTGGGGAGAAAGTTAACCTAGGTCAGACCATCACCTACAAACCTATTGGAATTGCAGTCTTAGGGCCCGTTCCAGACCAGCTGATCAGAAAACATTGGGGCACAATCCGGCAATTCGTGTTTCAATAAATCCTTCAGCTGGAGTCCTGGTATGGCGCTACAGGACAAGCACTGGACTATTATCTGTAAGGTCGGCAGTTCAAACCCACCAATCACTCCTTGGGAACCCTGTTGGATTGCTACGAGTAGGACCCGACTGGACAGCACTCAATGATAACAGTTAACACTTGAGTTCTGGTGTGGCGCTGTTGGATGGATACATAGTGGACTGCTAGACACAAGTTCTGCAGTTCAAACCCACCAGCCGCTACTTGGATACCCTATACAGGGTGGTTGAGTCGGAACCGACTCCATGGCGCTCACCAGCAACAACGGTCCCTGATATAAGGAGCCCTGGTGGCTTATTAGGGTAAGCACTGAACTGCTAACTACAGGTTGACAGTTCAAATCCACCAGCAGCTCTGCGGGAGAAAGAGGCTTTCAGCTCCAGTAAAATAATACAGCCTCAAAACCTATATAGGGTCTCTATGAGTCAGAATCGACTCCTATGAACCTAACAACAACAATCCCTGCCAGTACAATCTTACTGCTTCAAAGGAAAATCATTGTCATCACCCAAAAGCTTTAAATGAAGGTTTGTCTGTGTACAATATATCACACAGAATTAGGTCCCTGGGAGGTTTGCTTTCCTTGAGGGTACAGGTCTGCCCTCTGAAGGGGCCTGCAATCTAAAGTCCTAAAACAAAGCACAAGTGTAACTGAATAAAACCTTTTAACAAAGGCATAAAGACCGTGTAAGCCTTTGTTCACCGGTTCCCTCACTGCTCACCCTCCGATATCACCGCTCGTTTCCACCCAGAAAAGCAGCTTCTCGAGTTATAAGAATGGCTCTATGCTGCTGACAACAATTTCAAATAGGTCGTTTTCCCCCCGGCCATGGGAAAAGATATTTATGGTTGCGGATGCCCTTTCATTCCTTCTCAACCTAGCATAAAGTAACTGAAACTAAAACCTTAAGGACGGATCAAAAACCCCTTTGCAGCTTCGGAAGAACTGGAGATTCAGGCTCAGGCTCACTTTTCGGTCTCTATCCGCTTGGAAAACCCGAAGTGCATTTCATTAACGTCCGGACGGGAACCTGGCCGGCGGCCGTCGCCTCACTGCGCATGCTCTCTCGCCCCGCCCGCTCAGAGCAGGAAGGGGGAGAGCCGATGGCCTGGGCCTGGCCTGGCCGGGGCGTCGGCAACGGCGGCCATCTTGGCTTCCCGGGGAAAAGCAGCGTGAGGGGAAGAAGTTGTAGGGTGGGGGCAGAGTGAGGAGGAGAGAAGAGAGAGGGGGAGGAGGCCGCGGCGGGGCAGGGCGGGGATTGCCCGCCTGGGTTGCGGAAGTGGTAGCCGCTGACCCAGCCTGCTGCTTTCTCGCTACCGCTTCGGCTTCACGGCTTCCCCCACCCCCCAGACGGAGAGGGCGGCCCGGCTGTGGATGGTCAGATAGCCCTCATCTTCCGCCGCTAATCCCCGGCCCCAACCAGCGCGGAGCAGACGGCGGCAGCGGCAGCAGCAGGCGTGGAGGAAGATGGCGGGACGGCTGCCGGCCTGTGTGGTGGACTGTGGCACGGGGTAAGGGCTTGACCGGGGACGCAGCGGATGGGCTTCATGAGCGGGGGTGGGGAAACTGAGGCGGAGGAGGAAAAATGGCGGGGTGGGAGGCGGCCTGCGGATGAATGGTGCGGAGAGGTGCAGCCGCCGGCTCTGTCAGTCCCTGGCTCCCCGGGTCACCACGGGTGGGGCCCGGAGCCGGGAGCCTCGCTCGCGCCCCCTTGCCTCATCCTCCTGGGATTGTGGAGGTGGCATCGGGCGCAGAACCCCGCTGGGAACCGCTTAGTCGGCGCGACCCCCTCCCGACCCTTCCCCCACCGCGGTGGGCAGCGCCGCCCGAGGTGTGGGGACCTCGCTCCTGGGGGGCCGCTGTTGTGGTGGGGTGGGCGCCGAGCCGGCCCACCCAGCTCTTTCTCTGTGCGCCCCCTCCTGCTGCTGGGCGCGGGTCGGAGCTCGGGGGCCGGCTGGCAGAGGAGGCAGACGCGAGGCGCGCTCCTTGGAGGTTTTGCAAGCTGCCTGTGACAACACTGCCGGGTGTGGGTGGGGAAGGGGAGCACCGGACTCCGAATGGGAAGCCCGGACGGGGGCTTTCGCTTGGCCACCCATCTCCTCTCCCTTTGGATCCCCGGCCTTTTCCATTGCCCACTGCGTTTTTACCGGCGAACCAAGTCACCTTTTAATTTGAGAAAATGTCATGTGTTACTTCTCGAGCTCAAAAAAAGTCCCCCAGTGAGCAAGCGCGCTGCAACTTCCTTAGTTTTGTCAAAGCCTCTTCCTGCTTTCAGCCTTTTATACCCTTATAAGGTAGTTTTTCGTTTCCAACCTGAGCACATCTTATTAGAACTTTCAAAATTGAGTAGGTTTTAAATCGATCGGATTACTGGTGCTAGGTAACAGTTTATGTGAACTTAAAAAAAAAAAAAAATGTTTTGGTGTTCCATGGGGTGGGAGGAAGGAAGGTACCCAGGAAAATACACTTAAGTTGTACACATTCATTCTGATGCGGTGTCTTGAAACCTAAGGAAGATGGGGAAGTATTAAAGGCATGTGCTTTAATTTGCAAGGATTTCATTAACGATAGTGTAGTTTCACGAAGATATAAAATAGTATTGAAGTGGACGTTCCTTTTGAAATAGTAGGCATAGCGTTACAAGCACATTATGCATACTTGTTACGGTTGTTAGCTGCCATAGAGTTGGTACCAACTCATAGACCCTATGCACAATAGAGTGAAAGTGAAGAGGACTTAAAATACTGATGTAGATCACAGGCCAATTAACAACATGTATGCTTATGTAGAGAAAAAGACTGTTTTAACGTAGAACGTCTTTTGTTGAAATATTGGAGGTACTTTGATTGTTGTACTGTGCTGTTATTATCATTACATCTCTTTAATCCTGAAAACAGTCTAGTGTATTTTCTTAGAGGCGCTAATACTAAGATGAGGATTGCCAACCTTTTAGTACTCAGCATATTATTATTTAAAGTACTAATATGCCCGTCTCTCTTTTGCTTTGTAAACTTTCTCTTACATTCATGATCATAAATTTCTATTAGTGTGGCAGTTTCTAAAGTCTCCACAGTGCATAAGGAAGCAACTGACTTCTTTATATTTTTCTCTAGAATGCCTAGTCTAGCTTCAGAACTTCTAGAGATTGTTTCTAAAGGCCAGTTAAAGTTCCTTCTTAATCCAGTCTAATTTCTCTGAACCAGTGTTTTTTTCTTCCCCCTTCCCTCAGTCTCTTTGGTAATTAGTTTTGCTTAGGGTCAGTTTTAAAATCAGATTCAATCTAAGTTTCTTTTCTAGTGTGCTTGGTTAAAGTGAAAAATACTGCTATGTGCTTAGTATTTAATTGAAATTACAGGACTATCAATAAAAATAGTTATACATAATCATCTCATTAATACACATGCTGATATCATGTAGTGTGTTACTTTTTCCAATTTTTTTCTTTGGAAATACAGTTTTAATACTTTTTGAATTACTATACGAAGAGTCTTCAAAACATTGGGGAGATTGCATTATTTTAAAATTTCATTTTCTCACAAATTTTTTGAAGCCCCCTTCAAACTAAATAATCTCATCTAAGTTGTTTATTGTTGGTAGGTAATGTGAGGTCCGGTTCCGACTCCTAATGACCCTGCACAGCGTTTCCGAGGCTGTAAATCTTTACGGGAGCAGAACGCCTCCTCTTACTCCTGCGGATCCGCTGGTTGTTTCGAACTGCTGACCTTGAAGTTGGCAGCCTGACTCGTAACCACTATGCTACTAGAGCTCTCCCCTTAAATGACCTCATTTCTGAAAGGGCAACCTTGAGTGTAAAAACTTGCTGAGTGAACAGGATGAATGGGGGCAGGGATTTCATCTATACCTAGGATATTTGTCTTAATATTGACACTGCTGTTGGTCTCATCTAACAATGGATGGAATAGGAGTCCTTGTGACCCCTAACTCTCTTATCTTTTACCATCTGTTTTGCAATCTGAAGTACAACCTAGAGAGATTTATTTCTTCTGATACTCAAAAGTATTTTTGGAGTTTAAAGTTTTCTATTAAATGTAAAACCTTCTGTTAAAGGTTTCTATCAGCAAAGCTAAACCTTCAGTTCTTAAAACACATATCTAGTTAAGATTGGGCCAGTGATACTCATCTCGAAGTAAGGCCATAACGGGGAGTTTTGTGTTCCAGAATACTGTGGTCCCCAAATACACATTGTGTACCTAGCAATTTGTTTGTTCCTTTATGCTTTGCAGGGTACACTCATCTTTTAGGTCTCTAATTACAATTATCCATTTAATGTAAGTGAAAAATTACAACTTGAATCAAGTTGCTCACTCCATTTCATTATATAAGACAAAAGGTGGCAGAAAGAATTGATCATCTTTGCAAGTTGGTGGTATTAGAGAAGAAAAGTTGTAAGATTTAGGAAATGGAGTGTATTGCAAAATTTAAAATTAGGGATCCTCCAACAGAAGTCAAAATAAGAAGAATCACCTAGGCTAAGATCATAAAAGAAAATTATCATTTTGAAAAGTATTCAGAAAGAAATACTTCCTTCATATTGATGTCACATTGCTACATATTTTTGGTCTGGTGTGGTACTGTAAGATCAACACAGGACTGCATACCACAAAATTAGCAGTTCAAAACCCACCACCTATTCTTCAGAAACCCTATATACAGGGTCCCTATGAGTTAGAACTGATTTGATGGCACTTAACAACAAAAACAACATTGCAAAGGAAATGTAGAATAAAATTTGGGCTCAAAGATTCTCATCGCTAAAGCTGATTGCTTTAAAACTGAACTGTAGAGCTCAAACCTGCCACTAGAGTAAAGAAAGTATGAAATTTTCTTTCTTTAATTTTTTCAGTTACTTTCCCTGTTACCTAAGTTAATATGTGTCTGCCTTCTAGCCAGTGACTACTTTTTTTAGCATGATAACATTTTTGACTTTTTAAAATAGCGGTCTCATACAATATTAGCCCTTCTGTGAGTGACAAATGCAATTGAAAGTATGTTATTTTAAAAATATTGTATCCTAAGATTATCCTAAATTATTTTTTGTGTGTTTTTACTCCAATTTTCTAACCTTCAAAGCAAATAAGGAAATTTATTTAATGCTTTAGGTATGTCACTTCCTGGTTATGGAGCTTTGCATTGTTAAATCTCCTTTTTCCTTTTATGCCATTTTTCTCTCTCCTGATCAGCACTGCATTGGTAAATTATTTCCATTGATTATGATTCAGAGGCTAATATAATATAGCTTTATAGAAAAGAAGTCTTTGATGTCTGCAGAGTTAGAATGAATTGAGGATTTCCCTAATTGATTTAAACTTCTTAAATCTTAAGAGGTAAGCATAAATATTTTGTTGCAATCAATGAGTCAGGAGGTCACTTTATTCACCTTGTGACCATGTTCTGGCTATAAGGGATAGGATGATCTTGGTCCAAGAGCATTCACCCTGTGACCCTATCTGGCTATTTGTAGTAGGATGATCTTGGTCCAAGAGCTGTGGGGAAGAGCTGGGTGGGTGAAGGAAAGCATAAATGATGTTCGTTATGTATTTTGATCTAGTATTTAATAGCAATGCTATATCGAGGATCTCTGGTAGCATAGTGGTTATGACTCAGGCTGCCAATCTCAAGGTCAGCAGTTCGAAACTGCCAGTGGTTCCATGGCAGAAAGATGAGGTGTTCTGCTCCGGTAAAGATTTACAGCCTCAGAAACCCTTTGCAGGGTCACTATGAGTTGGAACCTACTCCACAGTACTTGACAACAACATATCTGTATCATCTAAGGCAAAAACATTCACAGAATTGTTACAAAACAGTATTCATTACAATTCTTACTCTTGATATGTTTTCTGTGAAATAAGTATAACAAACATGCTCCTATTGAGAAGTCAGATTTTTACTTACACTTACCTGAAATCACTCTTTCTTGCCTGCCAATTTTTACTTGAAATATTGACTTTGGAATGTGTATCTACTGTATCTAATCAACTTTTCAGCTTCATTATAAAACACAATTCAGACTTTTTAAGCACAGAAGGGAAAGAAAGATCCATGAGTGGAAGAGGGCTTGCTGGCTTGGCTTTTATTTACATAATCCCTGGTGGCACTGTAGGAAAAGCACTGGACTGTTAACTGCAGGATCTGCAGATCAAACCTACCAGCTGTTCCTTTGGAGAAAGATGAGGGTTTCTAATCCAAAAAGACTTCTAGCCTTGGAAACTCTACAGGGTCACTGTAAGTCAGAATTGACTCAATCGTGGTAGCATTTCATCTGGTGACAGCTGTAAGAATTTAATTTACTAGTGAGAAAACAGGATTAGAAAATTTAAATTACTTTTTGAATGTCACATAGTTATCATGCAGTGTGAATTGCTATTTAGATTTAAGTTTTTTTGAGGTCAAACCCTGTGGTTTTTTCTTTTACACATGAAGTTTCCAGAGACCCTTTTCAGAACTATGCAAATTACTTTATTAGTAAAGTTTACCCTACTTATTTCACACG